CCAAAACCCTATTCTGACTGTCAAGGCCCCTACAGTAGCGTCCTTGTAGCCAACGGCTCGGCCTCGGAACGCCCAAAATTCAGGGCAGGGTCGAGGGTTTAGGGTAGGGTTTCTACGGCACGAGACGGATTGCTGCAAGCGCTTTACAAAGGGACTCGAATGACCCCAGCGGAAAGCAAATTCAGAGGACTGCCGATATCTGCACTCGCATGAAGCTCTAACCCTACTGCCCAAAAATGGCACAAAAGCCGTATGTAGTACGGTATGGGTCTCTGGGCCCAAAAGCCTTGCACTTAGACTAATTAGAGCCTGCAATGTGAGTCCTTGGAGCCCTAAACCCTAAACCTTACTACCCCTTAAACCCCTGGAAAAGCAGAGCTCAGGCGAAGGCAATGGCTGTGGGGAGGCATGGCCAGGAAACATCACCGCACCATGGCGCTAAAAGTGCACAAAAAGCACCGCAAAGCAGAAAAGCAGGGAGAGGAAGCATGCGCCTCAAAATACACTGAGATTCGATGGGATTGTAAATATATAGAAACAGCAAAGTCTGTGATACTACACTCGGTTGCAGTAGTCTAGATCATGTACCGACTGGAAGTCTAGGGTTCTGGAGGCCCTGTGGGAGGACGCGTTCCAACTAGAAGCCCCCGGCTCGGATCAACTCTTCTCATAAGTCTGGCCCGAGGCTAAGCCTGTGCGGCGGCGGCCGGGCGATTGGGGCTAGACAGCTGGGGCCTGGGGCAGAGTCAGGCACTTCATGGCTTCAGTGAGAAGCCGACACTTGCGCAAGGATCCAGCTCCAGTGATCGCTCCGGTACACGTCCCCCCTTTTGGCCCCGCTGTCCTACGTCCAACGCTGCGGCCTGGCTGGATAAGTGATCAAGCCGTGACAGGATCCTCTGTAAGGCGGTCGACAACTTGCACACCACAAAGAAGTTCTTCGGCTGAACTCCGCCGCAAACACCAGGCCAAGAGCTCCGAGCATCACCAGACTCACAGCAGCCCAAGGATGTTTGTTATATAGCAGCTAGCCCCGAATCATGGGGAAGAAACCCGCCACGTAGTCCACAACGAGACTGCTGGAGTGGCGTCGCGAATCCAGATGCAGCAAGAGCATGATGCAATGCCTGAGTTCTTGTCGTTTTGGGGCTCCACACACATATGTATACAGTATACATACATATATAAATGTATGTATGTATGTATGTACATATATATATATGTATACAAGTTTTGGGAAGAGAAAGAGAGGAGTAAATTAGACAATTTCATCGATGGGGAACTTAAACTAGGTAACCAGGTTCTTTCACAAAGCCCGGATGCAAGGTCAATGCTATGAGCACGTGCCACCAAGTGTGCAGCTGCGGGTATGGCAAACCCCCCGGCAAGTTCCGCAGCACGCTGCAGAAGTAGTTGTCCAGAAGCCAGGAGACCACCGAGAGCGCGAACAGCAGCAATGCAGAATACAGGATTCCTTCCTAAGGCTGAGAGTGGCTCAAAGGGGCAAGGTTTCCTCCTGGGCTTTGGGCTGCACACCTCTTCTCATACCCTGCTTGCCAGCACTTGATTAACGTCCTAGAAGCCCCACTTTGAAATTTCTGCGCTGAGGTTGACAGCGCCGCAGAATGAAGATGGCTAGGTTGCTGCGGAGGCAGCAAGACCCAACACTGCTACCCAACAGTTCATAGGTCATAGGCTCAACTTCATGTAGCTCCAACCCTAAACCCTGAACATCATCCGGATCAACACATGCAAGTCTTGGCAAGCCCTCTCGGCCCCCTCGAAGAATCTAGCTGCTGCCCGGAACCCTGAACTTCAACCTCACTCATGCAGCGGCCCAAATAATCAAGAATAGGGTTTTTGGTGATAACTATATTAATGAGGAACCCCATAAAAATAGTATGGGTAATTATTTTCGGCCCCTATATTCGAACAAGAATCCTCTAAGAGCCCCTTACCCTAAAGCTTCCCAGCTTCCGCCGCAGCGGCAGCTCGGCGCTGCTTGTCGGAGACTTCTCGCTTGATCCTGCGGTTGAGGGTCTTTTGACAATGGCTTGGGTCTTGGGTTTAGAGTTTAGGGTTTGGGGTTTAGGGTTTAGAGATGCTTAGAGCTTTATACATACATGCATACATACATACATGCATACATACATACATACATACATACATACACTGTGTACGCACATGTGCGTGTATACATATGTATATATGTATATACATATATATATATACACACGTGTACGTACATGTTTTTGTATGTACGCATGTAAGTATGTATATCTGTATGCATGCATGTATTCATTGTATTATCCCCACAGAACTCTCTAAATCCCTCCGACTCTAAGTCTAAGCCTCTAAGACTCTTGGCTGGATTTCCTTCACCCTTAAGTCTAGCCCATTCTAATTACCACTGGAACTCCCCCTCGGACCCGCTAAACCCGCAAAATTGGCTTCTTACCCAGAGGCTGCAAAATCGCCCGGGAAACGCTCAGTGTCAGGGTTTTGGATTTTAAGCTTCAGCACTGTAAGACTTTAGAGATATGTTGCCTAACTCACACGAGTCTCTGCATGACAAGCACTAGCTGACTAGCTTTGGGCCCGGTTTTTGGGAAACTCCGACGATTCCTACCCCGAAGCTCTATAGCTCTAAACTAAAACCCTCAACCCTAAACCCTGGGGCCTTTCAGCTCCCCTAGACCCTTATGAACGCAACACCGTTTTGACGGCCCGCCGTCGCGCCTCGCAACCAGTGCAGAGGCACCCCACCCTGGCCAAGTGGGGAGGCGCATATTTTTGAAGCATAATTAGGCAACTTATGGGAAGTTGTATACTATTTCGAGACTAGGGTCACACATAAGCTTCTACAAACAGCATACTGTAGGTTGTTAGGGGCTTAATTGTGGGTTCCGGCTTACCTTCTACGTGAGAGCAGTGGCTAGGTTGGGGGCAGTGTGGGCGCCAGCATGGTCCAACACGACTCCAC